CTCAAGAATCCTGTTTCTCTCTTCCAAGGTCAGAATTGTAGATGGCCATCTTGCTGACCAAGCTTTTACGTGGGTTTATGGGGATCCTAACTCTGGTTCTGACACTTTCATGACAACTGCTTTAACCACTGAACAATCTCTCCAGCCCTCGTCTGGCCAGTCTTATTGCATCTCAGGCTCATATGTGCACTTCCTTGGCACTGAAGGAAGAGAGGCCATGTGGCTTTAGTGTCCTGTGTTTTTTGTCTGCATTGTGCATTGGACTTACAGATACTTCGTTTAAGTATCATTACAGCTCATCTTTGAAACAAAATAGTAGTTTTTGTCTTTGGTCTATCTTCTAAGGGCATTTTCTGGGGTAGAGGGAGCCACCACCTGATAAAGGGGGCTGATTAGTTTTGTGGTTACATATAACATACATTTAAAGGGATCTGTGCAGCTACCAGGAATTACGACTTCCTAAACAGGTTTATAATTATGGTATTATAAGGATGCTTGCACTATATGTAACTTAAACCTTTAACTATAAGGCAAGTCAGACATAATGGGCCCATTATGGGAATACCTTCCTATATTTTATAATCTCAAAGGAAAAAAGTGTTTTTACATGTAAATATAATCCAATAAAGATAAATCTGTGCAGTTATTAAACATAATATAATGGAGAATATTTTAGCCATAGAATGGCCCATCTGGATCATCATGGCTCTTTTGTTTTTATTCTCATGCAAGTAGTTTCTTCATCAGCTCCATTGTTAGTCAGAAATGAATATACCTGTTTCATGGAATTGTTCTTTACTGGTGTAGTATTACCTTTGAATTGGCCTGCTAACTTTAGGTATAGGTCACAAATGTTGGTTGAATTGTGTGTGATTTCATTCATTGGGTTACAGGATTTATTATTCTATTTTTCATTGAGAAGTGATGATTGAGGAGGTGGAGAATAAAGAGACACGTTGTATGAGGTAGGTTACCTTTGGAGTTGTAGGTAACTCACTGGAGTGAGCTTGCATGTAAAAGCATGCTTATAGTAAGGATACAGTAATGTCATAAGGACATCAGGGCAGAGGTGGAGTGTCCCTGGGGAATCACCAGAGACTAGAGGCAAGGAAAAAGGCTGCCTTATGAAACTTACTGCCTGCACATGGTCAGCACATATCCTTTTAGAGAAGGACTGAAAGTTGACAAAGGAAAGTTGAAATATGTGTATGTGTTATAGAAATATGTCTTATAGAAATCAGGCATCCAAAAGACCAAGCATTCACCGGGGTGGATGGAGAACTCAAATTTTATTCACTACAGCAGAGCCAAAGAAGCCATGGCTCTGAAGTTCTGGGCCCAGTGTTATAGAAAGCCACAGTTTTCATAGGTTTTCCCGTCATTTCTTAACAGTTACATCAAAAACTACAGCTTTCATGACTTCAGCACAGACGCTTACGTGTCCCAAGACCACTGAGGGGAAATTCCTACTGCAGGCATGTTTGTAGAACAGATATTAAGGGCAGCGCTTAAGACTTTCTTTCTTTTTAGCAAGCAAGGTAATTGCAAACAAATGTTTCACTAGATAACTGTGGCATTTCATTCTCAAAATAACTTTAAGGCTCTTGGTGTTCTCCATTTTAGTATGCATTCACAAACCACTAGAAGGTGAGCATCATGTCCTAAAGTATAAAATCAGTCGTTAAATGATAAAAAAAAAAACATATCAGAGATGTACACGAAGGTAACATTAAATGCATGGACATATTTCTTTTCATCTTAAGTGGTATGTTGCTTAGCACAAGCACAAAATTTTTAAAGTTACATAGGACCAGCAAGATGGCTCAGTGGCTAAATAGTATTTGTTGCCAAGACTGAGGACCTAAGTTCAAAACTTTGGATGTATATGGTGGAAGGAAAGAGCTGACTCCCAAAAGTGGTCCTCTGATCTCCACATGTGTGCTAGTTCACACAGACACCCCAAATACATAAAAAGTTATGTGGCTCCATTATATTCTTATTAAAGTTTTATTTATTATTTTAATGTGTAAGTGTGTGCTTAGGTGAGTTTATGTATATCATGTTCAAGCAGGAGCCCTTGGAGGCCAGGTAGAGCATCAGATCTCCTGGACCTGCAGTTACAAGCAGTTGTGAGCTGCCATGTGGGTGCTGTGAACCGAACCTGGATCCTCTGCAAGACCTCTGGTGCCCTTAACTGCTGAGCCATCTCTTTAGCCCTTTCATTGTATTATTTTAAAAATATATTTGTGATTTTAATTTTATGTGTTTGAGTGTTTTGCCTGCGTGCATGTAAATGCACCACATGCATGCAGTACCAGCAGAGGCCATAAGAGGGTGTCGGATCCCCTGGAGTTTGTTGGCCACAGGATGATTGTTAGCCACAGTGTGGGTGCTGGGAATCAAACCTGGGTCCTCTAGAAGGATAGCAAGTGTTTTTAACTGCTGAGCTATCTGTCCAGCCCCTTCACTGTATTCTTCGGAAAAATAATTTAAGCTCATTGTCTGAAATTGAAACAGGATAAGAGACAGAAGCGTAGGATTCTGATAATCAGACCATAACTGTTTTGGTCAGCATTTTTGTAGACATCTCTCAACAACCAGGAGTAATGGTTCACTTCACTCTCCTCCCCCGCCCCTTCTTAGACACAGTCATGTTGCATCCAGTCACTTACACGGTCATCTAGTCAGAAGCATAGCATAGATACTATCAGCACTGTTTTCAGTCCCAGTGGAATTTCTTTAACATCTCTCCTGTTCATGGGAAAGATGAGTGATTATATTTTTAATTTGGTAAGTATAAGCAGATCTGTATGTATCCATCTTTCTGCTTAAGCAGGTATCTCCTGAGTTGTTGTTGTTGTTGTTATTATTATTATTATTATTATTATTATTTTAGGATTCTAGGATTAAAGGGAATGCCATTTTACACACTGATCCCGTTGCTCAAGTGACTGCAGATTGACTTTTCTAGTTTTTGTTCCCACCATTAAAGTATCTGTGACATTGTCTATTTATCTTTTTTTTTTTTTTGGCCTTTTAAAATTTTTTGTTGTGGGACTGGAGAGATGGCTCAGTGGTTAAGATCGCTGGATGTTCTTGCAGAAGACCTGGGTTCAATTCCCAGAATCCACATAGCAGCTAATAACTGTCCATGACTCCAGTTCCGGGGGATCCGATAGCCTCTTCTGACCTCCACAGGCATTGCACGACATGGGTGCACTTACCTACATGCAGGCAATACACACATACACATAAAATAAAAATAACAAATAAAAATTTTAAAAATTACATTAAAAAGAAAAAAAAACACTGGTTGTTCTTGCAGAAGACCTGTGTCCAAATCCCAGCACCTACATGGCGGCTAACAACTGTCCATCACTCCAGTTCCAGGGGATCCGACAGCCTCTTCTGTCCTCCGCAGGCATTGCACGACACGGGTGCACTTACCTACACACAGGCAATACACACATATACATAAAATAAAAACAATAAATAAAAATATTTCAAAAAAACATTTTTTTGTTGTTTTGTGTGTGTGAATATTTTACCTGCATGCATCCATGTCATGCAATGCCAATGGAGGCCAGAAAAGGGCATATCCCCTAGAACTGGAGTTATAGACAGTTGTTAGCCACTATATGGGTGCTGGGAATGGAACCCAGGTCCTCTGCAAAAGCAGTCAGTACTGTTAACCGCTGAGCCATCTCTCTAGACCCTATCATCAGTCTTTTCAACCAATCTGCTACGTGAAAAATAAAACTTTAATTTTCTAAAAGTACGAGGTTTTTTTTTAATTTTTAGTTGATAGCTTTCTATATCTTCATTGATATTTCTTAGTTTTATGGAAAATGTATTCTTTGTTTTGTCTATTTTAAGAGATATATTCGTTTTCTTATTGGTTTTTAGGACTTTGTAAATTAAGGACACAATCTTTTTTGTGTGATCATAAATTTTTTCCTTGATTCTTTTTTTATCTTTTGACTAAAGTATCAGTGGAGATTTGGTCTTATTTTTGTTATTTATATATTTTAGACTTCTTTTTCTTTATGTGTATATCTGTATCCATGTTAGATGGGTACACATGTATGTAAGTGCCTTCAGAGGCCATAAGAAAATGTAGGGTCCTTTGCAGCTGGAGTTACACGTGGTTGTGATGTGAGCTGCACCCCAAGGTGCTGGGAATTGAATGCTAGTCTTCTTATGCTTAAAAAGACTTTTCCTATCCCAACATTATAAAATACTCAGATCCATGTTCTTCTAATAATTTTATTCTATTTTGAACTTATTTTTTCATAAATTGAGAGGGACACATATATTTTCCCCTTTTCCCTAAATAGCTAACCCACATCATGTTTTAACTAGTTTTCCATACATGCCAGAACTTGATTGCATGTACCTAGGAACACTGGATTTTTCTCATCTGGTTTATTCACTGCTGTAATTAGGCTGTTTGATACCTCTACAGTGGTGATTTTCTGCCTTGTGTTGGGTTTCCACTGAGTCAGGTGTTAAGATGGTGAGCTCCTGTTGCCTCAGAACCAGGAAGGACATGGCAACAGCTGATGCTGGAAGGGATGAGGAACTTAAGTAAGAGAGAAACAAACAAGACAAAAACAGGTCTACCTGCCGAGGGAGGGCAGCAGCGTCTGAAGTTTGTTCAGACATGGGGGGAGCCAGAGGAAGGACATATGTATTGGGGTTTTTGTTTAAATTCAAATCCATTAAAGCCTTCCTAACAGGGATGGTGGAAAAAAAACGTTTTCTGCCTCTTTGCCAACAGTAACATAATTTTGGTCTTTGAATAAGTGTCTTGGGACTTCAATTCCCTGTTGGTACAGCAAATTCCCAGCACATGTGCTGTGGCGGAAATTCATTGTTTCCTGAGTTACTTCCTTTCATGCTTAGTGTGGGGAAATGACCAAATGTATAGATTTCATCTTTATTCAGAACCTCGTGTCTGTAGCATCACTTGCTTCTGATATCTTTTCCTCTTGTTGTAGGTATTGCTGTTGGAAACTTCTTACATGCTTCAGATTCTTTTCAGGGAAATACATACTACGGAAACTGAAAATTCAGGTGAGTCATTAAAAATAGAATGAACGAATGAACGAAGAGAAAAGCCTTGTTAACTGATTACCCACTGTGTCTTGGCATAAAGTTCTGCCTTTACAGTTGTCTCTTATACTTCCTTGTGGGACTTATACTTCCTTCCACAGACTTTGGGTCTGTGTGGCAGTGTACAGAGTGCCCAGTCACGCTGCTTCCCTTGCTGTTTGCTTTCCTTGCCTGATAGTTAGGATCGGGGCGTGGTAAGGGCCCAGAATAGGGGTGAGTAGCTGGGATTTTCCCTTCCTTCATCTTGCTGCATGAATTCTCATTCATTTACACTGGTTTGCTTCATAAATACTTTGGGAGAGTGAAGTCCTGGATAAGGAACTAATCTGGAAACTTCTAGTAGGTTTTGAAATGGGAGTGAGTGCTTTCTGGGGACTTTAGGGTTGGAACTTGGGAGAAGTAAACTGCAGTTACAGTTGATGGGTTTCCCGCTTTGTCCTGGGTGAGACACCAAGATGTCAAGTGATATGTATGAAATGCGCTGGGCTGAGATGCAGCCTTTGCTTCTATCCATCCTGGGTTTGCTGAGGTTGAAGTCTGAGGAGGTAAAAGGGATCTCTCAATGCTCCAGCCCTAAAGAATGGTGTCATGGCCCCCACCCAAGTGCATTAGTTGCAGAGCTTGAGGCAGACCATTTAATCTCTGCCCAGTATCTTTATTTTTATATGTGAAATTTGTGGGGTTAGCCTCACCCAACTGTTTCTATGCTTTTAGATTTTTGTAGGATAGTAAAAACATAGCAGGACCGTTATTGAATACTTTTTGACTGAATATGAACAAAGCTGGTTATTGTTAAAGCTCAGTGAGTGTGTAGGAATTCAGTGGGTATTCGTATGTGGTTCTGTTATGCGTTTGGATCTTTTCATAATAAAATATTTTCACAAAATCTACCCTCTGCTAATATGATCTTTAAAAAGAACAAATATTTTTATACTAAAAGAACAGGAACCACCAATTTTTGTACATATTTAACATTCTAAAAATGATACCTTTTCCCATCCTCTTTCTCCTTTCTCTGCAAACTAGTGACCATCAGCCAAAGACTCATCAGTACTGTTTGAGCATTGACATTGGAAAGTCCCAAGTTATGACTTCTGATGACTCTTCTGCCTCTAGAATTGTGCCATTTCACCCATATGGGAAGAAATGTACCATGTATAGACATTGTCCATGTTCAAAAAATGCCATTTCAGCTGGCATGGTAGAACTAAGAGCAGTCAGAGGTTGATCTGGTTTGTTTTATGCTGTTGTGATAAAACACGGATCTATGATAGGACTTATTTCATTTTACAGCTCCTAGGTCACAATCCATCACTGAGGGAAGTCAGGACAGGAATTCCAGACAGGAATGTAGAGGTAGCAATCAAAGCAGAGACTATGGAGTAATGATGCTGACTGACTGGTTTCCTCTGTCTTGCTCATATACCTTTCTTCTTTATTGCTATTTTTATTTTATGTGTGTGAGTGTATTACCTGCATGTATGTAAGTGCACTCATGTCTTGCAGTGCCCATGGAGGTCAGAAGAGGGGATTGGATCCCCTGGAACTGGAGTTAGGACAGTTGTTAGCTGCCATGTGGGTGCTGGGATTCAAACCTGGGTCCTCTGCAAGTGGAGCCAGTGCTCTTAACTGCTGAGTCATCTCTCCAGCCCACTCAGATACCTTTCGTTTATAGCTCAAGTTCACCTGTCTAGAAATGTGTTCTAGTTTGTTTCTCCATTGCTGTGACAAAACATACTAACCACTACCAGCTTAGCGAGGAAAGGATTTGTTCAGCTCACATTCTCCCAGGTCACAGTTCATCAGGGAGCCCAAGGTAGAAACTCAGGACAGGAATCTGGAGGCAGGATCTGAAGCACAGACCATGGAGGAATGCTGCTTACTGACTTTCTCCCCTGACACATGCTCAGCCTGCTTTCTTATACAACATAGGCCCACCTGCCCAACGGTGGCACCGTCCAACATAGGCTGGGCCCTCCCACATCATTCAGTAATCAAGAAGATGTATCACAGACATGGCCACAGGCCAGTCCAGTGGAGGCAATTCCCCGATTGAGGCGCCCTCAACTCAGGTGTATCAAGTTGACACTAAAACTATACAGCACAGGATGACACTGCACACAGTGGGGTGGGCCCTCCTAATCAATTAGTCATTAAGAAAATCCCTAAGAAATGCCCACAGGCTAGTCTAATGGAGGAAATTCCTTACTTGGGGTTCCTTCTTCCCAGGCATCTCTTGTTTATGGCAAGTTGACTAAAACTAACCAGCACAGAGGTCAGAGGTCAAGCAGATGTGAAGGCACTGTTCTGTTGAGAACTGAGGTAAAAGTGGCTCTTTTACATAAATATGAAACTAGCTGTGAGTCATACTAATCAGTGTATGAACAAATGATCTTTACAGTCTGATGAAAGGGCACAGTACCCTCCTCCTCCACTGTTGTAGACCAGCCTCTGACTAGGTAATATGTGATGATACATGGTTGTCTATCTGAGGGGAGGTAATGATGAGAGCTGTAGAGAAATAAACTTGATGCTAGGCTCCTAGGAGACCAGTCCCAACCCCAAGTGTGAGGAACTCGAAGCTGGCGTAGGTCACAGGCATATCCAAAAGTTCTGAGCTTACAACAGTGGCATGTTAGTTTCTCAGGAAAGAAAAGAGCTTTCCTGCCTTGTGATACCCAGAGTAGATATTTTTCTTTACAGGTTCACAGAGGGTTCTTAATGCTCTAGAGTAGCTACAAGGCCTGGGACAGAACAGATCAGAAGCCTGCCAGATCTATATCTTTGCTGAGACTTCAATTCTGAAAGGAGTGTCCTGTACTGTGGGCTATAGAGAATGGCACACTGTGATTTCTGTTGACTTCTTTTTGGGCTGTGAGGTGTGAGTGTGTGTGTGTGTGTGTGTGTGTGTGTGTGTGTGTGTTGTAGTGGAAGAAATCATGCTTGAAATTACTACAAGGACAGGACACTGATGTCACATGAGGGACAGGCAGAAATGTTTCCTGCTCCAGGAGGTTGACACCATTCCAATGCTTCAGAATGTCCTGAGAGGTGCATGCATTGTCTGTGTTGTTTAGAATGTGGTGGTTCAATCCTCTGTACGTCTTCCGTCTGTGATTTCTGGCTTATGTTTGTGTTAATGTTCCTAGTTTCAGAGAAATTCCAGATGAAATTTAACAGACTTACCTGACTCTTTTCTGCTGTCACCCCAACCAACGCTTGGCTTCCTGATGATTGCTACGCTTCCATTCTCAGCCACTACCCCGAGGACATTCATTCCCTGCTGAATTTCAGGCAGAAAAGCTATAGCAAACAACAGCAGCAGAAATGTTTTCCTTAACTGTATAGGAATGTGAGAAATTACCTCAAATCTTGACATTTCAGAGGACGTGTATTCTGGCAGGGCCTTTTATTTTGACATGAACCAGAGAATGGAGAATTGCTTTAAGGGATCTTGAGTACTCATCCAAGTTGGCATAAAATTTAATGAATGAACAATGAAACTAATCAATCATGTTTGTGGCCTTTCAGAAGGGCAGGACATTCCTGGTAAGATCATGGAGGGGTGAATATAAGAATCACAGGCAAGCCACACTTCACAGAAATAAATGTGATATTTCAAAGGGTTACATGTAAGCATGCATATGTGTGTGTGTATGTGAGAAGAGAGAGACTGATAGATGGGGTAGGAATGATAAATGACTTGTTCTGACACTTTCCTTAGTACCTCATGATGTATTCTGGATTGGAGTGTACATGCAATTTATTAAGTTTATCTCTATTCCCTATAAGCATGTAAGAATATTTTAAGACCTACCTTAATGAAAAAGCATTGTTTTTGGCTGTCTTGGAATTTCTAGGTCCCAATACTGTTTAAGAGAGGGTATTGAGTCTGTAACATTCGAAGTAGGTAGGACCTATGTAGATACTTGATGCTTTGTACCAGATGCTTAAGGGCTGTGATGTCATCAGTAAAGATAAGTTGTTCTTTGCTTCCTTTTATTCATTAAATGTAGGAAACAGCATATCTTGAAATGGAGATCTTCTTTAAAGGGTTAAAAACTCATTCAATTTTATATCTTACAGGGTTTATACTGAGTTCAATATTGTACAACTGTGTTAATTCAGCTGTGAACCTAAAAATTTACAGCCACTTTTGAAAGAGATGTATCCTTGCTCTGGAGTGTGTTACTGAATATGTTAAAGCTGTAATGAAATGCTTCTTCTGATCATGTGGTTATTAAATTTTTTAAAAATTAAAAAATAATTCTTCAAAGCAAAAAAAAAAGTAATCTATTGTATGCATCTCTCCTCTTTCCACCCCCATCAGTCCATTTCTTCAGACTACTCTTTCTGGTGACTGAAGGCACATTCCACTACTTGCCCTCCTCTGACAGGCTCTCTGAGTGACTTCGAGTACTCACTAGACCAGGGTTCCAGGACCCTTGCTGGTGTCCTTGTTCTGTGACCCTTGCTTGTACATGCTTTAGAATAAAAGCACTAACAACTTTTAGGCTTGTTTTCAACATTAAACTTACTAATAATGGCTAGAGAGGTGGCTCAGCATACAAAGGTGCTTTCTGCTCTGTCTGATGGCCCACAGAGTGGAAATAGTAAACACACTCTCACAAGATGTTGTCTAACCCCTGCATGTGCTATGATGCATGTGGTCCCAACACATACATACACATGCATGTGCACACACACAAATATAATAAATAATGTAAAATTAAAAAATTATTAACCTGCAGTGTAACAGAATGTGTTGTTTCCTTTAACTTGGCAGCTAATTACGTCTGTCCATTTCTTTCAAGTTAAGAACGGCTTAACAGAGAACTCTAGATGTGAGCATTTTCTAACAATTGATTGGATTTTGTATATTCATTTCTCTTTTCAATGAATAATTTTGCATTCATTTTTATATTTTCCTTTAGAACATGAACCCTTAAAAAAGACATCAC